GCAACTGAGATGGAAAGGTCAGGCCCCGGCCGTGCGGGACACGGCCGCCACCAGTCTGCAGAGCGTGTAACGATCTGCAGCGGTTGCTTTGGGTGCATCCAGGAATGGCCTGACAGCAAAACAGGCCACGGCCACTAGCAAGGGCGGCGACACGTGCTGCCTTGCCACGACGAAGCACCTGCCATCTGTACGGTTTATCTTAGCACTTGGGCGAAGAAAGGGACAGCGTCGCCGTTGCAGGTTCCCGCCTGAAAGCGGCTCCACACTTGCTGCAAACCACATTCGGGCACGCCGACGACTCCGAGTCTCTCTGAATTCGGAAACCACCTGAAGCGTGTGGAAACTTGGTGCTGAAAGAAGAATTTCTATCGCCCTCTCGGCCGAGGGCAGCGTGGGCATGGCTCTGAAAACTGCAGCAGGTAAAGGATCGACTTGGCTTCGTCGTCGGTGGCAGAACCGCACATTGCCGTGTGCTCCTGCAGCTTACACTTAGTCACAGCAGAGTGCGGAGAGAAGAGCAGCCTTGGACTGCAAAGGATAGATCAGCTTTCCGAGGTCCCGGAACGTGAGATAGCCAAGCGGACGCCCTGCCGCGACGGAGGAGCTGAAACTGTCGAGCCGATGTCGAGGCCAAGGCCCCTTTTGGGGCCTCCGCGCCGTAGATTTGCCTCGTGGACCAGAGAGCAGAGGCTGGCGTAGGACACGGGCGCCTCGTGCTCCTGGCAAAGACAACAAAAGGGAGGCCAGGGCCACGCGCCGCCGCCGTGCCGTGCCGTGCCGTGCCGTGCCGTGCCTTCACCAACTCCAACAGGTCGGTATCCAGAACATGGCCCTGCAGCTGTGGTCAAGCAAGAGGGCCAAGAGAATTCGCGACTGGTCGCAGCTGGCTTACTAGCTGGCTTTCTGACCACCCGGCCTTGTCCAGGGGATCGAGGCATCTGAAGAAGGCTGGGAGGCCTGAGACCGAGCGTATAAGAGCCATGGCCAAGGGAGTCTTGAGCGCCGGTCCGCAAGCCCCAGCGCCGGGACCGAGCATCGCCTCGTCAGGAAGAAGGACGCCAGGCTCCGAGGATCTCCGAGGATCTCCGAGGATCTCTGCCTTGGCATCCTCAGCCTCGGCGTCGCAGGCCGCTTGTCGGACCATGGCCTAAGCCCAGAAAACAACGGCGAAAAGGCGAAATCTACTGCCAGCCCGACCCCCACCCAGCGTTGCCTGAAGAGCGGTTCGCAGCATTCGCAGCTCCCAGGCATCTCCGCGCTGTGGAGCCCACAGAGGGCCCTGACATTCAGATTTCTTCGCAGGCCGCTTCTTGCGGCTGTCTAGGGCAGGCCCTGGGCAAGCACCTCGTAGAAGCCGTCCGCTATGAAACGAGGGCTGCGCTCCGAATATGGACTCAGCCGAAGATCCGGTGGCCCGGGGCGCGGCATCCTTGGCGAATGAACTCGGGAGGTCGTGTTCGCATTCTTGTGGCGGAAAAAGATAGTCCCCATGAGCGCCCAAGGCCGCTTGGAGCGAGGCCGGCCCAAGGGACTCTCTCTGAGCCCACCAATGGCCGAGCTCTGCGCCTGCCCGGATTTCGATGAAGGGCGGGGGTTCGCCCAAAAGCAAAAGGAGCCTCCAGCAGGAACGCCCTGTGCGACGGGGAGGGGGAATGAGGCGGCGCAGAGCGCTGTGGCAGGGGCAGCCGCGGTGCAAGCTGCCGCTCGGGCGACCCCGTGCCTGACAGCCAGAAATCCGGATGAATTTTCGACCTATGTCCGAAGCACTCATCCAATTCTGAACTGAACTGCGCTCCTGTTTTCGTCCCCTGTGGCTCCGCGCGTCCAGACACTTGAACTCTTGCAGTCGTGATGACCCCCACACTGCTTAGTAGCCCCAGAGTCAGGAAAATAATGAATCTACCTGCATCCGCCTGCTAGCTCAGGCGGGGCTTCTTCGCGAAAAAGCTGGTCAAAGTTGCTTGCGATGAGCAAGGTTGCGTTCGTCGGCTCTCTGCTTCAGACAGGGCAACGACGCCACCAAGGCATAGTCCTGGCAGCGGACATTCTCACATCTCAGCTCAACAGGTCTTTGGCAGACGCCGCCTTCGAAGTGCGCACAAACAGCGACGTGGTCTGAGTACCTGAGGCACATTGCCGACAGCACTAATATTCGCCTCGGCCCCGGCCGAAGCGGTCAGAATTTCCCACTTCCTGTTTCCCCGCCTTTTAATCCCCTCCCTAGCCCCCCCCGGCCCCTCCCCAGACCCCACCCCGTGGCCTGGTAGAACAGGGTCCATTTGACCCCGCGCGCGCATTAGGCTGGCTGCTTCTGCACGCCCACAAGTTTTTTCTAAACTCCCGCTCGGCCCTGCCTGGCTCCTTCACTTTTTTTGCCGCGCGCCGAAGGTATAGACGAGCCGCCAGCGGGCGCCGGGGAGGGGCTGGGGGATCCCCGGACGGCAAGACGGGCTAACTTACATCATTCGTGAAGTTGATGCCACAGCCTGGCAACTCTGGGGCTGTATGTTGTACTTTGTTGCAAAGCTTGGTTCCCACTCATTCACTCAAGACCTCGCCGGTGTGACCTACCTGTTGCTTTCCGAAACACTGCACCTGCTTCAAGTACAGCCGGGCCGAGGCGGACGACGCGAAGCGTTCAAACTTATACGTAGTATGCGCGCAGCTGGCAGCCTTGGAGGAGTGTACAAGATGCCAGTATGTGGCGACCGGAACTGCGAGTTGTTCAGCCGCATGTCATCCTTCTGCAAACCCAGCCCATCATCGTCGGTTTTCGACGCCCTCAGACGCCCGCAAGCCTCTGTGTTTTGACAATCACAGCGCCGAAGAGACAGAGGTGCTTGAGACGACATAGTGTCGATGTGAGAAAGGCAACACGAAGCTCCAACTCTTGGGCAAGCAGCGGGTGCGCTGTGCCAGGCCCCGAAGCATGTCGCAGCGTTTTGAGCCGCCTGAGCGAAAAAAGGCACTGGCTGCTACGCTCAAGTCTTCTCAAATCCCGACCCTAGCTCGCCTCTGCTGTCTCGGCCGCATGCAGCGGCGATGATCCGGCAAGCTCCGAGGTCGGAGTCCTCACCAGATGCTTCTGCCTTGGAAGACGGTCTGTTGCAGCTGCTTGTACCCAGAGACGCAAGCTTGCGGCCCCCGTGCATTGCTTAACTGAGCCTGTCGCATGGAAGTATCGCAAAGGATATAGTCCAAACGCGCCCCAATGTTCGAGAAGCGTGAATTTGCGGTCTGATTCCACTGCGTATAACGACCCAGGCAAGCGGCTCCATGGCAGAATGCGAAAGTATCAACGAAGGCTTTGCCTTCGGTTTCGCTGCCTTCGCTGCTCTCGCTCACCAGGGCTGACAGCCAGTCCACACACGGAGCCTCTCTCCTGACATGTCAGCTACTATAGCAAGCATTGTCTGTCCATGGCTTTTGTGTCAATGCCTCAGCTCAACTTGGTCCAGGAGTCACCCTGTGTGGAAGCGAACCCTCCGCCTCCAGTTCCTCGGAAAGGACACCGAACTCGAGCAGCACCAGCTCATCACCAAGGCCTCACGCAGGACTCACGAACCGGCCTAGGCTTGCGATGTCTGCAAACAAAGGCGCCTTCCAGGGACTGCCAGGGCAAGGGGGCGTCAGCTGAAAGAGCCCTGCTGCGGCACCAGAGCTTGGGCAAGGAGGATCGCTCGACCTTCGTCTCAGAGCCCTTGATCCTGGTCATCGCCATAAGGACACGACCCGGCAGCAAGGGCAGGTCTGGTGGCGGAGGATTCGGAACCCTGAAGCCCTCCGGACCGTGCACCAAAGCTCTCAGGCAATTCTTGGCGCTCTCTGCCGTCATTGTCACTTGTGCCCGCAGAGCTTTTTGTGCAGCTCCCACGGGTATGTGGGGCCCTGGCGTAGCGTCCTCCGGCAATGCCCACTCCTTCTTGCCACATACACGACCCTCGTCAATTTTGAGGCAAAGACGCACAGGTGCTACATCAGCTGTGCGGTATGTAAGGTTCAGATCACCACAGACCAATACCTGCTTGCCAAGTTTTCGAGTTTCCTCTATGCGCATCTGAAGGAGGTGCAGGAATTTGACTTTCTGCTGTAACCTTGATTCATCGACTCTACCGTCCTCGGAACAGTGCAGTGTAGGGACATACACGTTGAAGACGGCGAGGCCGCCCAAGTCCACGAGTAGACAGCGGCCTTCTTTGTCTATCTCATCCCGCAGAACCTGCTGAGTGGCGCGTGCCTGCGGAGCAAGGTCTTTCCGAATCCAGGTTGCCACACCGTTGTAACGGGAGGCACCGCCCTCTTGTTCATTGAAAGACCAGAAACTCTGATAGGCACCTGTCGTAGAGACAGCACCAAGTTGCTGGCACTGTTCCCGGGTCTTCAAGTGACTCGCGGTGATACGAGTCTCCTGAACGCAGAATATGTCGGCCTGATGTCGTTCGAGAAACAAGTCCAGGCTGCCGAAATGAGTCTTTATGAGGTCGTGGGTCCTCCAACAAGAGCACAGCAAATTTAAGCCATTTGTGAAGAAGAGGCCCGCGTATCGTCTAAGCTGTCCTCGAAAAGCCAGCTGAGTTCCAGGAAACAACCAGCAGCGAATCCACTGTGGTAGCAGCAAGATTTCCTTTGGCTGCTGACGCCTTGTAGGAACCCATTCCGACTCGACTTTGCAGTTCAGTGCCCTACACGTTGGACAGTCTGCTCTTTACGCTTTGTCACCTTGTGCCTTGTGCAGGCTTCTTTAGAACGGACGGGCAAGCCTTGTCTAGACATACATGCAATTCGCTTCGACTTCGAGAGGCAAAAGCTGCAGCCAACTCCCTCGCTTGCGCTCGAATTCAGAGGTCGCAGGATGACATGCTGAATCCGCCTCTGGAAGGTGATAGGTGACGCCCAGGCACCTGACACGGCAAAAGCACAAATCAGCACCAACCAGGCCTCGGTTCAATGAGAGACTCCTCGTCCCACAACGGCCATCCTCGATTCTCAACTCGTCCGGGAGGAGCACCCTCGGTAGTCCGCCCGTACGACCGCTTGCCCACACAGGATCCAGCATTGCACCAAGCTGCGGGATCGCGTGCAAGGGCACGTGGCGAGGATGGCACGTTCCTGTTTGAGGGGTGAGGGGTGGCAATCATTCTTGCTGGAAGCTGGTGTTTGGGCCCGACCAGGAAAAGCATTTCCCAAGGATTTGCAGATCACATATTAAGGGCTGTTGCAGGTTAAATACCCTATTCCACCCGTGCCTATGATCGTTGTACCATGTCGTGTCCAGGAGGGATAAAGAGCACCGCTGAATATCTCTTCTTGTCGCTGTTACGACTGAAGCTGAAAGTCACTATACACACGATCGACAAGCATACTTCTGAAGAACCTGAAGGCCACATTCACATCAACATCTGTAGCTCAAGACGCTGAGCAGAAAAGTACTAGCGCGATGCCGGAAGTCATGGATCCTTGATTGTGGAAGCGGCAAAGACCCCATCGGCCCTATCAGTGATGCCGTCGTTGGCCCCGTCTCGGGATAGGTGAGATGTGTTTCGACAAATCGGCTTTGGGGCTTCTTTCGAAACTTTCGGGGATTACTTTACTACTCTTTCCAAAAGAAGGCACCCCGAGGTTCTGGCACGGATCTTGGAGAGGCCACAGCCTCTGCTCATGACAGAAGCCACAGTCTGCTTGCATGGGCATTGGGCAACGCGGCCTGCCTTGGATGGCTGGTAAAAGCCGACAGGTCTTGATGGCTCCTGAAATCTGGTGGAAGCCCACACATGGTCGGCCGTCTTGCGCGAGGGAACTCGTAAGGGCTTCGCAAGCATTGGCGGAGGTGGCGGCGAAAGCCTTCCGAGTTGCGAAGGTTTTGTAGCTTCAAGCCGAAGAAACCGTCAGCAGGAATCGAGGCCAAGCCACTGATAGGCAGGGATGATCAGGTCAACCACAGGCTTGCGAGATTCTGGAAGGGCCCTGAGCTGAAGCTGTCAACATGAGATCGCCCTTGAAGATATGGGTCAGGGCCTGCGATCGCCTCCGTCTGCTTGCCTCGAGGCGATGCTCGATTTCGAGCCCGATACACCCACCCTCGGTTGGGGCCCTGCCTGAAGGGCCATTCCCGGGATTGCCAGAGCGGAGCCTGGATGGGAGCTCCAGGCCCTGGCAGGCCTCCGAACTGGGCTCCGTCGCAGTCGCACGCACTCTCTTCACCGCTTCACCTTCGGCGGCTAAGCGGCTCCTGGCCTGGACCTCGTCGAGGCGACAGCTGTCGTTCAAGCCAGCCTGGCAGGGGGCGAACGCCCTGGAAAGGCAAACGAAACCCGGTGCTTTCACCAACCTCTGCAATTGCTAGCCTCCGCCGCGGCCTGCGATC